GATTCAGGTTCATCATCTCATCTTAATAATGTTACAAAATGTAATAAAAATACATTAATTTTTCTAATATTTCTAAACAAAAATAGCAAATATAATAAAACTTTCAGCAATTTAATATTTTATTACTTTCAAATTCAAACTAAAGAAGGAAGTTATTTTCTTACTAGTCCAATGGCACTCTTCAGTCTAGCGCAAAAATTAGTACATAATAAATATGCATAAATACTGCTCAATATTTTATAAATTAAAAAAATATGTAAAATGGCAATAATATAACTTTTGGTAACCTATTAGGCACGTAAATTTAATTTTACAATAAACTCGAAAAATAAAAACATCAATAATACATTCGATACAAATAAAAATCATTTTGCATTTCATAACTTCTATATAAAGCTTTACATTTATTAAATGAAGTATTTAAATTAAATTTATAAAAGACCCTTATTCTTCAAAAATCATTTGATAATTTAAATAACGACTAATTTAAACCAAATTATGCAAACTTCACAAGAGATTCTGGCATAAATTTCAATTTACCAATTAACAATTTATGAGCATAAACTAAAGTGTAATTGAATGATTTAATTTAAGCAAGTTAGTTTAGTTTGATATTCCAACTTTCAGCAAAATGTAGCTACAATTCATTTGGCATTAATTAGTGTAAAAACTATTTTACGAGTAACACACCTTAAATATAGAGTGTCTTAAGAACACGTGTCCGTAAATTTGGATCAAAACAACTAGGAAACTTTCAAGTCCTAATAAGTCCAATTTTATTCCTATATGGTAATTCCAGGAGAGATAGTACACCGAGTGAGATGGCTCATTTAAATTTTCGCGACAACGGTGGAGCTGGGCCATGTTGCTATCATTCAGTGGCAGTAGTATCAAAGCCTGAATATATTGGCCTTAAAGTAGACAAAAGATTATGAACAAAAATAGGATTGAGAGGATCTAAAAATAATTGAGCATATGTAAACAAGCCGAAATTTTTGTGGGTGATTTGGTCAAGGTGGCCGTGAAAATTGTTGTGGTTATAATCGGGTTGGCTGAGTTACCAGATTCATTTTGTATTTCGCGAAAATTACCTGTGCCATCTCTTCCATAATATTGGGAGAGATGGCACAGTAACTTTCCGGGAGAGATGGTTAGTGTACAATCCGTCTCGTAAAATACACAGATATGCTAAAAAAACTGTTATCTTTTTAGGAAAATGCCGACTCATTATCGACGAAAGGGCACGGTGCAGAGGGGTAAATGCAGCCAAGAACAGCTATCAGTACAAACTGCACGATGAGGCTTAGAGAGGCTAATCGGAATTACAACATTCCAACGTCTACTTTAAAAAGACGCTTAACTAAAAAGAATTTTAAAAAGATAGGGCCTTCTGTACTTGGTAAAGAAAACAAAAATAAGTTAAAATTGCATATTCAGAAATTGTAGAAGCTTGATTTTGTACCTACTCGAGACTGCGTTCGAGAAATACCTTATAAGCTAGCAGAGCAGTTTAAAATCAAGCACACTTTCAACAAAGAAAAACGAATGCCAAGGTATGACTGGCTGGAAGAACTATTTTTAATAATATTGGCCAACCTTCGCTATTATTCATTTGAAACAAAAAAAGTCCAATGTGTATCACGAACGCAGGCCCATTTCATTTGCACCATCGACGGTCACAGTGATTTGCGTAAACACAGACGCTTATACCGTTACACCACAATAATTTGTGAATATTGACATATTTCGAAGACTATTCTTCATCCTTTGTTTAGGATGCATAATTTTGGTTTAAGAACGTTTATTTAATTTTGCATAAGTTGCTTTTTCATAACTTATATTCTCAAGAATAAGGACCGATGTCTGAAGAGGACGTTTGTGATAAATAATTATATTATTTTTTTATAATTTTTTAAATGTTTTAATAACAACATAATTTAATCAGTAAAATTAACCTAAGATTAAATTAAATATTAAGGTCATAATTAAAATTGATTACTTTTAATTGCGTCGTTATTCTTTTCAACCAGCGATTGTTTAATTGTTTTAAAATGTGAACAAATTTTTACCAAATAATTAATGTTTAATTGATTTTCATTCTTGCGTTATTTTCCCAATGCTGTGTTAGTAAAATCTAGCATATAACTGGTGTGAGATTTAAAATTGTGCAAAACAGTTATTTACAGAGATTATTAGAACTAAGCCATAACATCAGGCAACATTTTCTTACCTCATCGTGAAATTTTACGAAAATATTTCTCGTTTGAACTAATTTAATTTGTATCTATTCCATACAGAGTGAGCCAGTAAAATTCTAATCAATAAATTTGCCATTTTAAACCCATCTTATTATTTTTTTCTTTCACCCTTGAGAACCCCTTCATCGGGGCTCTAGCTGTTCATCGTAGTAGCACTACGAGGCTTATTATATATACTCATAATATAAGGAAAGTTTAAAATAATCAAGTTAAAAAGTGAAAACAAAAATTTTAGAAACAAATCCGTATTCTGTAAGGGAATAAGTAATAACAAAATATCAGACTCACTGAAAAAATATTTTAATTTGACTGATTTATTTGAATGGTTTAATCCCAATTTCGTTTTCAAACTATTTTTATTATTTACAGTTTATCTGCCACTAAATAATATTTTAAGAAAAGTATTATCTAAAAAAAGTATTGGAAACTTCATAGATTTTATAAATAAAATGTATTTGCTCCTAGTGTAGCTTGAAAACTAATAGTAAAGTTCAAATAATAACAAATTATTTATCAATCAACCCGGCGTTGGTATGGTGGCCTATTGTAATATATGTCTGTTATATATCTGTTATATATCTGTTATATATGTTATATATCTGTTATATATGTTATATATCTGTTATATATTTGTTATATATCTGTTATATATCTGTTATATATCTGTTATATATCTGTTATATATCTGTTATATATCTGTTATATATCTGTCATATATCTATTATATAGCTGTTATAAATCTTTGAGTGGAACAACAGTTGTGGTGGGTAATGATAGTAAAATAGGATAATAATACTAAGAAAAACAATTTTACACTGCAGGATTTGCCAAATTTTATTACAGAATAAATATTATGTTTTAACAAACATGTGATCACATGTTTTACAGGGTGTAACAAAATGATTTACCTTAAATCAAACTACAGATTCTGAGGTCGAAAATATGTCGAAATAAGTCATTTACAATCATTATTCCCTTGTATTATCGATCTCAATGAGGTTGAAAAATAGTAAAAAAAATCGTGAGCAACTATTTAGTGGTTTAAGTTAACTCAGTAAATAAAGCTAGTACAAACAAATACTAAAAAAAAAGAAAAAATTTCAAAATAGATGCGGAATTTCAGTGGCGTGCTTTTTCAAATAAATATTTCAAAAACTTATAGAACTAAAATAATTTTAAATACCACTAACTCCATTTTATTGTTCACTGTATACCAACATCACACGTACATTTTCATAAAAATAGGTTAAGCCGTTATAGAGTACGGGCACAAAACCTTTTCTAAAATTTCATCTTTAACTTTTTACTATCCATTTTTTCTGTAAGAAAGTTAGCTTAAATCGACTTATTTTTAACTGCAGAAACTGTGGTTTAATTTACTAATATTATTTTGTTACACCCTGGTTAATTAATAAGGCGCTTAAACATTGCGTGGAGTGGCCGTGGTGTGTCGAAAACGATTTGCGTAAAATAAATATATTTTCTCCAAACTTTTTGGAGGCAACACAACTTTACTAGATAATGATTTTCTGTCATTATTAATCGATTAATAATTGATTATTATTTGAATATTAATCAAATAATAATCGAATAATAATCGAATAATAATCGAATAATAATCGAATAATAATCGAATAATAATCGAATAATAATCGAATAATAATCGAATAATAATCGAATAATAATCGAATAATAATCGAATATTAATCGAATAATAATCGAATAATAATCGAATAATAATCGAATAATAATCGAATAATAATCGAATAATAATCGAATAATAATCGAATAATAATCGAATAATAATCGAATAATAATCGAATAATAATCGAATAATAATCGAATAATAATCGAATAATAATCGAATAATAATCGAATAATAATCGAATAATAATCGAATAATAATCGAATAATAATCGAATAATAATCGAATAATAATCGAATAATAATCGAATAATAATCGAATAATAATCGAATAATAATCGAATAATAATCGAATAATAATCGAATAATAATCGAATAATAATCAAATAATAATCGAATAATATTCGATAAATAATTAATTAATAATCGAATAGCAAATTATTTTTAAGGAAAGCCGATAATCCATTGATGGATTAATCAAAATTAATCGATTAATTGAATGAACAAAAATAATCGATTAATCAACCAACCTTAGGTACGACATGCATGATCTGAGTTTACTGCCCGTTGAACGTAATGCGGTCAGATCAGGGCTGAATATGTTTGATATTAACATGAGAAAGGGTTCATATAAAGATACATGAAGTCTCGCGAAGCTGCTGTCCGCTAATACGTTGTGACCCAGTTTTAAATTGCGCTGGGACATAATATACCCCACCATACCTCCGTCGGGTTAACTTACATGTGAAAAATGCTACAGATAATCTGAAGTTTGGCGGTAAATTAGAAAAAAATAGAACTCCGGGAAATATTTGTTTTCCTGATTCCCGTTTCTTCTTGTTATTTTATGTAGACATAAATTTCGTATTCCAACATTTTTACATGTAATATATCGTCAGTAAATAATATTTTCAATAAATATTTTTTTCCCTTTGTTTTTTCATAATAATTTTATTTTTTTTTTGGCTCACTCTGTTGTCTTGTAAAAATAATACTTACAAACTACTTAAAGAAAACCTTCACCAAACATAGTTAGTAATTTATTTACACTATTTTACATTTTTGTCTTATACAAAAGTTCATCTAACAAAAACTTACTTTTCCCGCTCCTCCATTTCCAGTGGACTATTGTCTGTTGTTAGCAAAAACAAAAAGAAATAAAGATATTAATATAAATTAGTATACTACACAACAAAAGAGTTTTTAAATTAGACTATAACGATTTGGACTTCTATGAGAAACGATTGTAACACCAAACACAGAAAATAACTCACACTTAGTGTCAGCTCTCTTCCTTCGGCATAAAATGATGATGATGATACAGATTATTATTACGAAAATAATAACTGCTACTATTGATGCGATGATGATGATCATTTTATCTTGGTTGAGTTGTCGCCACCAAGGAAGATTACCTGAAAATGTTTCGAATTGTTGCAACTAATATTTCTTTGTTTGGAACTAAATGTACAGAGAAACATTTGATCTAGACATACTATATTGGTCAAATAGGTAAATCAAAGAATTATTGAACATTTACAAAAGATGGAACACTTGGAATAAGAAATTTTAAATAAAATCCTAATTGTATGTATTCCAATAGTAAAATCTTAAAATTATATATATTAGATGAAAAACATTACCTGCTACTTCTCTTTTACAAGCACCACTATTTCCTATTTCGTTGTGAGCTACGCAAGAGTAAGTCCTGTACGTTTCGATGCTAGAATCCAGTAACAAATAACTCTTGACTTTGTCTTTGATGATGTTATTCGTTTCATTGAAAGTTTCGTTGCCTTCTTTTACTGTCCAATTAAATGTCATTTCCTGAGGATTACCCAAGGCTGTGCATACTAAGGCCGGAGTGCCATCTTTATCTACTGTGGTAATTGTACATTCGGGAGCGTCTGTGAAAATAAGGTCACTGAATAATTTATTCCAATACATATGCGATGGTTGTAGATATAACTTTTAAAAATAAACACACAATTTTGTATTTATATTTAATTTTTGTTTTAAAACCTATTAGAAATAGTTTTTGAATTGTTTCTGTCTTTTTTTTCTTTTTTTATATTTCTATAGTTTTGTTTCGTTTTTTTGTTTGTTTTCTGTTTGTTTTGTTTGTTTTTTTTGTTTTTTTGGTAATTGTATTTTACACGAAAAACTTCAATACCTTATGAGCTAGAAATAAAAAAAAAGTTTAATTAGACTATGGTATTGCACCCAGTGGCGGCTCGTGGGCACTAGCGGCAGTGGGGCATACACTGGAAAGGAATCCCGGAATTCGTTTTTCCCTTAGGAAAACAAGTTCTCCGATTAATGAAAATTAAATATATTTCAAAAAAATCAGTTGGGACAATAACGATTTCTGAATGTGACTACAGAGAGCTAAATGTGACCACTTAAAATGCTATGTATGTGGCTATTTAATCAAAAAATTATTACATATCCACTTTTGCGAAATTTGCGTAAATTTCTAAGAAGAATGCAATTTACTTAACAATTCTAACTTGTTAACGCATTTTAAAGCATACGACTCTGAAGAAAAGGTATTTGGCAATTTAAAATCTCCCAGCGAAAAATTTCTTTTTTATATTTTCAAATTAGGAAAAAAATTTATATCTCTATTTGATAGTTTGTCAACCAAGCCTGGAATTTCCAACGCATACCTTTTTGAGATGAGCAAAATAGAATTTGATCATCCTTGCCAACAATTTGCGAAAATGTACACCATTAAATTATTTATAAGACTTACTCTTAAATATGCAAACAGAGATTTGAAATCCTCGAAAAAGTCAGACAAAACCAAAAGAAAAATTAAAATTTTGTCCCATTTATAAATATTGATTTTTTTTCATCATACTTGTGACTGCTCTATATAAAAAAAGTTATTTTCCTTTGTAGTTTTATTTCTTAACTATTTCAATGGTACAACTAACGTTTTTTCGTAATCACAATAAATAAATTATTATCATGGTCCAACAAACTAGTACCTTAAACCGCTGCGTACATACGTATCTGGTCTAGGTAATCTGTGCCATGGGTACAGCACGTCACGCTGAGTACAGGGCCCCGCTTGTGACGTATAATCCATCGCATGTGTTCATCTCTTGCTAAGCGATATTGTCATTGTCCTTGTTTTTTGCATCATAATGAGAGAGAAAACAACAGAGGCACACATTTACTGTACCCATCTTCCACTTAATTTCGGAATTCTCGGAACGTCGCTCAACGCCCGGTCGTCCAGTGACGTGCCAACGCGGTTTGCGCTGAATATTAGATAAAATAATAATAGGCATTGAGGAAAATATAAATTATGTAAGTAATTTTTTTTTTGGTTTATTATACTAGGGCACGTGCCCAAGTGCCCTTACGGGCAAACCGCCACTGATTGCACCTGGTAAAAAACGTTTACTATTATTTATAGTCCCTCATCTGACTGCAAAAATTGTCATGTCGTGTTTTTTTGCTTGCTATTTGTAGTTAGTTACATGGAAGGGGATGAATAACATATACTGTGTCCCGATTGTGGGAGCTGTCGTGTAAACTGTCAAATTTAAAATACTGTGTTTCACATTGATGAACTTTTTCGTTTTCTGCAGGCAATAAAATAATTTGCTTTTAGATGTCTATAAAAATAGAAAATCCATTTGCAAGTATTTTGGTCGTCCAGTTTTGCTACTTTGCTAATTAATTAAATAGTATATGAAGAGTCGCAAAATAATTTGAAGAAAATATTTTTCAAATTGAATTAATATTTATTTCCCTTAATTTCGTTTGTAACGATACGTCCATGTTTACATTCTGACAGCAGCGGCTGTAGTCCCTTACCTCGTACCTCTGCTCTCATCCTTACGACCCGTTGTCTCATGGTTAACGTTGAAACACTTAAAAATCAGATTTATTAATGAACGAGTTGTATTAGATATGTTCACTACAAATAGCAAGCAAAAAACTACATGTCACTTTTTACAGTCTGCTTTGAAGAAAGATTTATACGATATGTAAGTAAGCGTCACGTCTGTTAAAATTTAAATAAATATTCATTTATTTACGATCAAGCTAATAAAATATACGGATAATTTTATTTTCTATGATACATTTTATACCTGTTAATCAATACATGAAATATTAATCCCTGTATCTATTGTATTATATATAAACTACCTATAAAATATTTTTAAAGGTCATAAAATATGCATTGTTTTATTTTGTGCTACAATAAAAAAGTTGATAAATTATTTACCGGTTGTATAACAAATTTTAAAACAGTGGTGCGAAAAATATTGTGGAAAACACAATAAACCTAAAAGGAGAATGAATTAGGATTTTACAACAATAATGAAATATGAATTTAGCAGAAAAGTTATTTAACATTTATTTTGATTAAAATATACCAAAAAATGTAAGGCAAAGTTGAAATATCTTTCCGAACAAATGATACAACTGATACTTTTATTCATTTAATTCAGGTTGGAATGAGAATTTAAAAGGTACATTGCTTATATTATTTCAAATTAAAAATTACTTACATTGTATATTAAAATATACCGTAGCAGTCTTAGATCCGTGCTTATTGGAAGCTTCGCAAATATAGGCGGCTGTATCACTTCGAGTCAATTTCGGCAAAACAAGATGATCATTAGTCGTTATTGCTTCAGATGTATAGTTCTTCTTCCATTGGTAAGTAAGCGTGGGTCTTCCTTTTCCCATACACTTCACTTGATCAGGAATATCACCTTCTTTCACATTTACAACTTTTGCGCTGGTAATAACATCCTCTGGCGGATCTATAAAGAATAAGTAAGGAATTGTTTTGTGCTGCAAAAACCTAGTTATAACTTATTAGAGCTGACAACGAAATAATTGAAACTTTAATCAAAACTTACAATCTACAGCTATCTCAGCAGTTGAACTGACACCAAGCCCAATTTTATTTGAAGTGGCTTGACAGGTATAATTCGAGTTCGGACTGGTTTTGTTTAACATGTGTCCAGGCCAGGCAGTTATATTCCAAATCTATAAAATTCAAAGTTATTTAAAATATCTATCCCAGAGTTTTATTGTTATGATAATATATTATAACAACGTTACTTACTAATGTTGAATTGACAGATTCAAAATCATTTTTCTGTGGGTTGGGTTTAAGAAAATGCGTTTCTACGGTATACAAGGGATTATTCACAATATCCAATTTGACACCATCTTTATGCCAGACTATGGAACATTCTGGATAGCATTCAACTATACAAGTCAGGTTGACATGTTTTGAAGTATATAATATACCTTGGTAAGTAGGTGGCTTCTTTGTAAATGCTGGAGCAGCTGGAAATACGAAACATTTATAGAGACGTGATAAAAGTAACAAACTAATATTTTGTGTTATTTTATAAAAAAATATGCAATTGTTTTAAAATAAAATAAAGTTATTCGTGTCTCGATTTTAATTAGATAAATCTGTTTATATATTTTTTAGTTACCGAATAATGCTGTGTTTGGAAAGACAATGGAAAATATTGATAAGAAACGTTTGTGGATTTCGTTACAAAATGGGTTTAGAGATTTAGGCTTAAAATAGCAATATACAGGACCTAATTGTACAATTGAGCGGTCTAACATAATAACCCCGGATATATATATATATATACATGGTGGGTCAAGTTGTACTGGAGGATTCATAAGAAGCTAAACTAGAAAATTCAGAAAAGGACAAATTTAGTACTATATATAACACGAAATAAACTATTATAAAATTAAATAGACAATAAAGGGCCTTTTATAACTACAAAACAGGTACTAAGATTGTTATTTTTGTAAATATATTTTTTATTTGCTTCTATCTTAAAAAAAAGGTTTTTTTTTTAAATTCGTTGTGGTTGTATATTTATAGTAAAATAGTGTTTTGAGGGTAATTAAAAGAAATAAAAATTATAAATAATATAAAAATATAGAATAAATTCGTGTCTCGATTCTAATTAGATAAATCTGTTTATATATTTTTTAGTTATTAAGTATTGCTGTGTTTGGAAAGATAATGGAAAATATTAATATGAAACGTTTGTGGATTTCGTTACAAAATGGGTTAAGAAATTTAGGCTAAAAATAGCAATATACATGCCTTAGTTGTATAATTGAGCGATCTAACACGATAACCGGATATATATACATGGTGGGTCAAGTTGTACTAGAGGATTCATAAGAAGCTACACTGGAAAATTCAGAAAATGTAGAATTTAGTACTATATATAGCACAAAATAAACTAAAATTATAAAATTAAATAAGCAATATAGGGTTTTTTTATAAATACAAAACAGGTACTAATGTTATTATTTTTGTAAATACATTTTTTATTTGCTTCTATCTTTAATAAAATAAAAAATGTTTTTTTTTTAATTCGTTGTGGCTATATATTTATAATAAAATACTGTTTTGAGGGTAATTTAAAGAAATAAAAACTATGAATAATAATATACAAAATATAGAATAAATACTTACCATAAACGTTCACAAAAACGGTGGCATCTTCACCCTTACCACCTTCGTTAACAGCTCTGCACGAAAAGTTGTTTCTCGTTTCTAATCCAGCTGATGTTATACTGTATACAGATTGCGTAACGTTCGATAAAACATGCGATCCTCTGTACCAAATGTAACTGACGTTATTTGGACGACCGATCGATTCGACTGTACATGTCAAGTTTACTGAGCCACCTTTGACGACTTTTGATGGCGTGTATCGAATTCTGGCTGGACCAGGGGGATCTGTAAAAAAAATTAACATCAGAGTAACCATTTTAATAAAATTTAATAAATTTCATTTGAAATTATTGGATTAAATTGCATTCGACTCTATTAGAAGTTTAATTTACCAACTTAGAATCATTTTTATAATAGAAAAATATTGGTGGATTTAACTAAAGAAAGATTTAATTTGAAGTTCACTTAAAGTTTCCTTTAGAAGAAGTAATTTCGGTATGGTCCCTTAATAAAGTAATTTTTTCAAGTTAGTGATGAGCTGTATTTTCTTCTAACATTTATAGAAATATTAGCCAAAGAATGGTAGATTCTGATTGAAAGGTATGTCCTTTTAATATAAATTTTTCATGTATTATCGGCTTTTTTCAATATGTTAAAGCTAAGAAACGTAAAGGAAATAATAGGTCAATGTTCTTACACATTTTATTTAAATTGGACTTATGATCGACAACACTAACTGCAAAGTTCTGAGTAAAAAAAAACTAAATTTCGTATGCGATTAATAATTTAATTACTGATTTATTTTTATAGCATTTAAGTTTATATATTAGCCCAGAACAAACTGTCAGAGTTTCTCTTTCCTTTTTACAAAATCTACTAAAAGTATAATGAATCAAAAGTTCTGAATAATTTCCACTAAATAAGTACACATTTAAAAAAAAAACAGTTTTAAAGGCGAATCTTAAATAAATTAAAAGACGTAACAAGACAGACATTGCATTAGGTTTTTTACTAAATCTAGGAAATATTCAACCTTTTCAGACATTAACGTTGGCACCTAGGCAAAGAACAAGGTGATATATTCATTTATTTATCAAAGCATGAAAGAAAATAGTCAACTATTCAGTTTTAGTTCTAGGAGGAACTATATCTTAAGGAGGTGGCAATGTCGCGCAAAAGCCTACCCTGTGCTTTGTTTACTCCTTGCTTCGGTATGAAGTCTAGCAATATAGAGACAAACGCACCGCTTCTTAAAACTACCGCATTGATTCCTTTGCGGCGTATGAGTATTAGAAATGCAGTTTTCGAGTGTTTTGAAAAGCCTAGAGAGTTCTAGTACAGGGTTGGCTTTATATAAATAGGGCGAGTTGTCGACGGACGGCAGATTAAACTTAAGTGTTGTACAGAAAAGATAAATCGTAAAAAATATATTAGAATTGTGAGTTATAATGGTACTTAAGTATTATATAAATCAATTAGTACGTCATTAATAAATTGTAAATAGTGTATTTTAAATGAATAAATTAAACAATTGTTTCAATATATATATAGTTTTTTTGCATATTTTGGACTCGAATCATGCACATTTATGTGCATAAACTCCACTTTTTTAAGTGCAATTAGCCTAAGTTTCGTGATTAGTGTACGATCTAAAGCCAAGTATCTGTCCAATCCTAAAGAAAAACATCATATTATTGTCAATGCTTCGTTGATTTTTTTTTTCGAGATATTTGGCACACTTCCAAGGCTAAATAAAGATTTTATTTCTGTATGGAAGTAAATAGGTCGCAAATTTAACACTTAATTAAATTTTTTTTGAAAATTTCTTCGATTTGTTTCTTTAATAGTTTTTTTAAATTAGTTTTAAAACAGTACAAAAAAATCAGTATATTTGTGAAAAGAATTGAAATACCTTTCAAATGATGTTACACCCCCGTGTTGTTTAGTATTTTTTAAGGGGTTGCCACCCTGTTCAGAAGACTGACCTTACATTCATGAATTAACGATCAAAACATCTGTCTCAGAGTTTTCCGGAAAAATCTCCTCCAATGAAAATATTTCATGGACCAGTCTGTATGTTGTTCATAATTAATGTTAAAAGATAATTAACAGATTTTGTAAGTCGTTAAAATTTGCTTGATTCTTATAATTTGTTAAAGCATATAAATAAAAGTGTGAGACTGGACTCGTATACATACTTTACATAATTAAACATTCAAAATAAAAATTTTGGACAACTACAATAAAATTATTAACAAATTAATGTTGTGACTTGTCACGTTTTTCTAGTAAGCTTTATAATTACTAATTTAGAACTGAAACCTTAAAGAGAATGACAAAATTACTAACAGAATTTTTTTATACAGTATAGTTGATACTTACAATAGACAACTAATTCCTGAGGTTCGGATACCGGTCCCCATCCTCCTACGTTCATTCCCTGACATGTGTAGTTGCCTGCAAAGGATTCGTCCACCCTTTCGAGACTTAAAATACTGGGATCCAGACCGCAAAACGGTCCTCCGTTACCTTCTGCTTGCCCGTTCTCATCAATGTTCGTGTAGTTACATTCCGGAAATTCTTTCATCAATTCTCCTTCCAGAAACCAGCGGACCTGTGGGATAATCCCATGTAAAATACATTACAGTTTGTGTACCTCGAATAATTTATTACTTTGACTTCTGGAAATGTATTATTTGTTATACAGTGTGTCCCAAATTCGAGTCTCTATATTAGTATGTCTTTATAATATTAGAGATATAAGGTTAATGAAACGAGGACTGTTTCGGTTAATTCGATGGTGATCTCGGATGCATTTTCAAAATTATTAAAATTATTGTGATTTTTGAGTTATTTCAAAAAATTAAAATTGGCTTAATTATTAAACTAACATACTCCAATAATATATTTTCAAATAAAGATTATTTTTATTTTTATAGAAAAAAGTCCAAATTATCTATTGTTTTCGTGTTATCTACCGTAATTTTGTTATTTTCTTCTGGTGACTATTTATAATTTTTTAATAATTTATTATTCTCTCAATTGCTTTTTAAACGATTTACCACATAGGTAACACCCAAAACTTTATTGGTCGATTCTTACCTTAAGAAGATTTGAAGGATTTCCTGATGTAACGTTACACATGATGATAACAGTTCTTTTATCAATTGCTTTGACGGGATAAAAGGGTTCCATTAAGACTTCTACATCAGGTGTATCTAAAATAAAAATTATGTATTGTTCATAATAATTAAATCAAGGGTTTATGTATGTATATATTACATATTAAATGTAATTGACCCTATATAAATTTGCATCCAGTATTGAAGATATTTTGTGATTATACAGGGTGATTAATGCGCAAATGCACATATATTAGGTGCAGATAGATAGATAGATAGATAGATAGATAGATTGATTCTGTATGACCAAGATACAGTGTAATTTATTATTCATAAATTGTAGACCACAGTGTATGTTTTTTTCATAGTCACTACATATAATATTTATCCAATATGGTGCCAAAGAGTGTATCAAAATAAAATATGATATACAGGTCCATACAAAAAAAAATATACTAAATTTGATTCAATTCAAATCAATACCCTGTATATTAAATTTTTTTATTTATTATGTATTTAAAAAGAATAGGATAATGTATATTTGTACATTATCTTTGATATTTCCGCATACAATTTTGTTACTTTAATTATTTGAGCCAAATCATCAACCTTTTTATGTTTTCTTAATTTGAGGATCACAATCTTAATGAAAAACAAATCTATAGGTCAGTATTTGGGATTTATTGCTGATTTTAATAAATAATTTACAGAGGAAATTATAATTATAGTTTTTATTGTTAAATGTTAATTACATAATAAATAGAGAAATAATTATTCTTATCCCTAAAAAACACAACTATAATCATTATTTATTTTGCATTTACCAGGAACAGGACGCCTTAAAATGACCCTAGTCCTCTTGTCTTAGCGCTCTACTTACTGACGATTGGGTAACTGTTAAAATCTGTGCCATTCCGATTTGATTGTAACCTTTAGTATACCGAGTGACAGCCATATGTGCTTAAGGATTTTTTAAAAGTCTACTAACACGTCTTTTTTTATAAAAAAATAATCATTTTTTGCAATACTTTAGTGTCAATGTATCAAGGTGAAAGTTTGCAGTAACGCAAAAAAGACATTAATTAAAAACAAACTACAAAAACGATCAGATCTGCATAAAAAATATCTATTTCTTAAATTCTAAGTTAAATAATAACACTATATTGACTGTGATATCTTGTTTACGTCTGGGATACATAAATTTGATTAATTTAATATCTTTTTGGTAGAATTGATCCAATTAATTGTGATGAATTCAATACAAAACTATCTGTGAGTAATATTTTAATCGTATGTAGTTTTAAAATCAAACTTAACTAATCAGAACTTCTAGGTAAAACAGGTCCCACAGTTTCTCTAATTGAATATCTCAAATGCATCAACCTATTTTATAAATTATAAAGTCTGTACTTAAATTCCATCATTTGTTACTGTATTTCTTCAATCGCTGATAAACATTTGGTGGAAGCAACAAAAAATAAAATAAATAATATATTAGTACCTGTTTAACTTTCAAGCTTTATTAATTTTTGGTTCCTATAGTTCCTTTCATTTAACTAGAGTATTTTGCAGAAATATGTAAATATGTCTCAAAATAAAGTTGTGCTTTCTTCGTGTTGCGAATCTCTTTTTATTATTTTTTTAAAATTAACCATATTTATTTAACAGATATCCTAAGTAACATTTTTAGATTTATAAACGTATACAAGGTAACCATAAAACTCTTTTTTAAGACACTGATAAAACTTTTGAATCCGAGAAATAGCCTTAGGGCTGCTATAAATTTGCTTTAAGAGTAAAAGGGAGAATCCTATAACGGTTCTTAGGAGTATTTTTAAAACAATATCTTAAGACTAATTAGACTTAAGACAAAGTCCGTAAGAGTATATTAAGAATTTTATTAAACCATTTTTAAATATTTTTTAAGATAATGATAATAAGTGGGATAGGCATAAAAACTTTACAAAACTAATCAGTTTTAAGAGAATTAAATTTTAAACTGTTTTAGCTTCATTCTGTTTTATCATACTCTCTGACAGAATGATTTTGTAAACATGTTGGGAAGACTTCCATATTAGAAATTAACTATTATATAGTGTATGTTTAATTTGTTTAGTTACACTTGTTATTTCTTTAATTTTCAAACACACACCAAAGTACTGTTAAAAGTGGGCAAGATGGGTCGTAATAAATGATGGGCCTTACAATATATGAAATATACGTGAAAAAGGATTATTATACGGATTCTAATCTATTTACCAAAAGTTATTTAATAGAAAATATCGAATATATAGCACTATAAAATGATTACATTTGTCTTCGATATGTTTTTCATATAAAATATCACATTTTGTATTTTTCAAATTATTTCATGTAAGTGACTATTTAACCGCCAATATAAATCCTATTGTAGATTTGTTTTTGCATGGATACTTGTCATCGTAAGAAAACCATTTTCAATTGCGCATACCTACTGGACTATCAGAAACAAACTTTTTGTTTAATCATAAATTACTTTAGGCAAGGCAAGAGTTATATACCATTACAACATAGTATATTCCAATATAAATTACATTTAAACACCCTAAAAGGAATTAGCTGTAGATAGGTTTGACAAATTTGACATTATGTGGTTAAACGTAGTAAACTCAATCATAAATAATAAATTTACTGTCATTGACACAGTGTTGTCATTGATTGGCACACTGTTGTCATTGATATACTGTTGTCATTGACACACTGTTGTCATTGACACACTATCACTGTCTTTGGTACACAAAATACATCATTATTAAAATCGGAAGATTTTAGAATTATTTGAACTTTGACCATAATTTATTTGAATATTCTTTAGGTACAGGTCTGGTAGTCAGGTACTATTTTACATGATATGTGGTTAAATAGCCACTGCCATATTTAAAACGGAGGATTTCCTCATTGTGTTCTATCTGTACCTAAAACAGGACATTAGCTTATAAAACTAATAAAGCAAAAAAAAATACTTTTTAAGACTTTCTAGTTTTAAAAAGCTCTTGTTCACTTTTCAAAGCGTTTCATAAAACAATAGTAAAAACGAAAACCTCAATAAAACATTCATAAGTTCAATCAGACGGGCTTAACCTAACCTCACTCTTGAGCTTCTTATTTACTCTACGAACAAGTCATTTAAAATATAATAATTAGTAATAATATATTAACCATTTTTCTCTTTCACTGATCATTTCCAGAATATTAGGAGCCTAGGAATATTTTGAAATTTGTTAAACAATGGAACACATTGAATTTATTAAACACTGAGGAAAAGAAGAAACATACACATTTTTTTTAATCTCTATGGAAATTACCACTTTTCTTTATTTTGAACAATTTATCTTTCAACATCAACATAATGTTGAAAAGCTAGGTTATGCTCTAAAACAAATTTTAATTCTTATTAAAACTATGTAGTTTTAAAAGAGCCCTATGGTTTACTAGATTAAATAAATTATAAGAGTTATGTTGTAAGATTGTAGAAAATGTACCAAAAAGGTTCTGAGATTAATTTAATTTAAAGTATAATCCTAAAACACGTCTTAAAACTAAGTTTTAAAACCTACTTAAAATAACTGCTAAAAAGTATGCCTCTTCAACACCAAACACACCTTAAAACTAAATAGTTTTAAAATAACTTATTAATTAACCCTTACATGACAGCGATAAATCATAGTTTACTTTGAGATAAACTAGTTTTCTTAAACAGATTAAAAGGAATCTATAAAACCAATAAAACCTGTAATAAAATAATTGTTAATTTTTATGCTTTAACAAAATCCTAATAAAACATAAATAAAACTTAATTCTCTTAAAAATGTTACTTGAGATATCATATCTTCGTAAATATAGGGCGCTGGTTATTAAAATTAGCATTTTGTCCCGATTATGGACCTGCTGTCAATTCGTCTTTAAATTGTGACTTATAGATTAAAGTAATATAATAATAATAATAATAATAATAATACTCTCCCTAATTCACCCCCTTACGAGTGAATTTTAACCCCAAAAGCTGAGCTTGTCCGGGGAAAGGGACGGCTATTATTATTATTTGCCGTGGCGCTCCGGGGCGACTTAAAGATGATTGATGGTGCCATTTGACTTACAGGTGAGGAAAACCCGGAAAATTTCACCCACCATCATCGAGACGGTAATGTATGGCGAATTTTTTTAATCTGCATGTCATATCAACAGAAATTGAATTTCTATTAATACGCCACACATCAAATCCTAAACCGAACCATGCAATTTAATTAAAAATCCACATGGTCTGGTCTGGGATTCGAAACCCAGCAGTCTCAGACTCATAAACTTGCCTATAAATGAATATAAGCGCGATAGACCGCTACACCACCGTGCCCGATTAAATATATAGAAAGGTTGATTTATTAACTCCAACTGGAAAAATGATTAATTAGGAAACAATTTTTGTTTTAATTATACTCTTCTTCTATTATTGAAACAGTTAGATTTGACTCAAATTAATAAGTAATAAAGATACTTAGTGTAATAAAATTTTTTTCTGTTCGTTTCAAATATATAAACAAATTATCAAAATTCTGATATTGGTACATAATATTCTATATCTGTAAAGTGGAGAGGATGGATCTATTCTTCTAAATCGATTTGACAACTCTTAGATCGTTAACCAACCTACAGATTTAATGTAGTTAACAATGAGGCGTTTCTCTTAATAGATTAGAGCTTCGGGCAATCGTTAAGGATATAGTTCGATGACCTCATTTTCTTGTTCACACCTCCTACAGAGTGTGGAGTCTGACAGTCTTATGCTATGAAGGTGTTTCGTACTTGGCAATAACTAGTCAGAATGCCTGTGCTCAGGTATATATTCTTTTTGTTCATAGTCAAATATTTGTTTGCAGTGGTGTTGTCAGGTTAATTTAGAATTTGCTTAGCAACTCTACAGTTTCTTGTTTAAATACATCTTTTCTTGAATTTCACGAGGAAATATTTCTTAATTGGATTTGTTATAACTGATATTGTTAGTCCAATAAAAGAATCAGTTCCAAATATTATTTGGTTGGCTATGTTCTTAGCTAATGAATTGGTATGATGGTTACCTTCTGACATAGAGTGTCCTTTGGTCCGTCCTAAGGTAACTACCAGTTTGTTGATGGATAGTTTGACCAAGGATTTCTTGTGTTGCTATAAGAATCCTGTGACCTACTTCTTCCGCTTCGTCTATATTTTCGTTGTAACTTTGTAGTGTTTATAAAAAAAGGTCCTTGTTCGCTTAAAGAAATTAAAGCTTTGCCATCAGAACAGCTTTTCTAATGTAAATATTAAGGGGGTGAGACTAAGAATGACTTTAATAGCTCTGGTTGGTGTGGTTCTTATTCTAGTATTTTATATACTGTGGAAAAAACGATAACTCGGATATAAGTCCAAAGTTTCTTAGAGTTTATGTACTTGCCAGTTTTTCAGCCTAATTAATTAACACTCTATTGTAGAACATACTCTAATTTGTACACGAGTTTTCTTCATCCTATATTGAGGGTGCTTGTTTTTTCCGAAGTTGAGCAAAAATCTTACCAGCCGATTTTTTCTATTGTTTATTTTCTCTGCTAATAAAAACTGACGTCGGTTCTTCGTTATAGTATTTTCGTTACTCGGATAATAATATTACGTTTTTTTTCCTCAGTGTACAGGATGATATTTTGAAGTGAATCAACTTTGTTAATTTTTGTGTTAAGACCTAAATTTCAACTGTTATTTATGCTTACTCTATTCTGCATCATGCTGGACAGAGTGAATAAAAAAAAATATAAAGTATGGTTCATATCCTAGGTTATTGAAGAAATGAGAAAAATAAAAAAAATCACTCTGTATCTTGGTTATAAAATTTCAGAGAATAAATATAAATCATTTAGAACTATTTAGGTATAGTTTAAAACTATATCCCATGAAATGTTAATTACATTTAGAAAGTTGTTTAGAAATAAATGAAACATATGGATAAAGAAAAATAACTTACATAATACGTTAAGCGATACACTTTCCGGAGATACTTCAGTACCGATAACATTCCCCAAGGTGCACGTGTATTCACCCATGTCGTCGCGGATCACGTTATTGATATACAAGGGTGGATTCCTTAACGATCCTCCAACATACTTTCTCGAATCATTCGTCAAAAAAGGTTTACCGTCTTTTAACCTGCAAAAAAATAAACTTTTAACTCAGGAGTTTATAGTAAGGATTAGTGCAATTTTAAAGCTACACTGCACAAGTACATTTTAGATTCTTAGGGTTTAGAGTACAGTAGAGAGTCGATAATCCGGACGTCGAAAATCCGGGCCGTCGATAATCCGGATTCAATTCCGGTGAAAAAAAAGTTGAAGTCAATAAATACATACATATTTGTCAAACAAAAGCTTTGATGCGACAGGTTGGGCGGGGTCGTCTTAACCGCTACAAAATGTATAAACTGTATAGTATTCTATAAATACATTACATAATGAATGTATATTCTTTCATTAAAATACATTATATAAGTTCATATTAATTAATGGTTTTATTTATCTGCTTAATTATTTGACATTTATCGGACATTTTAATAATGTAATGGTATATCTTTCATCGTTGCCTTATCTCTTTCCCTACGATGACAAGTTAAATTTCATTTTGATTGTCACTTGCTTTCTGAATTTGGTGTCGACAAGACAAATTTATATTTACTGAGATGATCTTCTAATAAAAGAGATTATTTATAATTTGAAAAATCCATTTGATAAAACATGGTGAGTGCGGAATGTAATATTTTTTGGTTTCATACAATGATGATCAAAGATTAACTAGATCTATATTTTTAATTTTTGAGGTTTTTTTTGTGAGTTGAATGCTTTGAATATAGTGATTTCTATAAAATAATTATATTGTATTTTATTATTCAAAACGTTCGTCTCATCTGTCCTACCTTTCCGGTTAATCATTAAAAAGTCGAAATATTTTAGCCGTGCAACATATAAATGGTTTTATTGGAAGAATGAAGAATGATTTGGATGATCGTTTTTTATCATATAAGGAACGATTTAGAGTTTATTACCTTGTTATATGAAAAAGGATTTGCTGATTTTCATAATAATCAACATCTCGAGGTTATAAGAACATAATAAATGATTGATGTCTAGACGGCTACAAGAGTTTGCTGATTTGATATTAGTTAACGTCTTGAGAACCTAAGAAGCACCATATAGGCTGTTTAGAGACCTTTAATCGTATATTACACCTGTTGTACCCCTTTATGAAGCCTTAGCTCATGGAGATAAGTCAATTTATATTGTACCGAATACTATTTCAAAATAGATAACTTTAAAAGTCATTTTATTATTAGAAATTCTTGAAGAATAGAATTTGGTTTTCCCGTATCTACTGCAGGCATATCCTATATTTTTCATTTAAATTTAATAGTAATTTTTGTTTCCGTATTTTCATCAATTAAATTTATATAAAGAGATATGCAAATTTAAATACGGTGGCGTCCATTTTCTAATTTCAGAGTAATTGGGTTATTATATCCTGGTGCCCTATCCACGACCCTTATTACTGAGCTTTATTCATTTAAATTGTAAAACCAACATCAGCGATTACAAATTAATCCGGATTATCGACTCTCTACTGTATACGCTTTTAACGTAAGTCACATAAGTTTTGGGAAAATCTTCGTCAGCTTAAAAATAAATGTAAATGATTTGAAATCTAGTAAATATGTTAAATAAATATTCATAAATACTCAAACTGGTTATGACACTTCGCAGACGTCAAATAATTTTTAGTGATAGTAGTTTATGTTATAGGCCCGTTACCTATATCTCTACATGCGAGCACGGTCGGTAATGTGCAAGCGCTAGCAAGTTATATGACCGACGAGCATGTAGAGATTAGGTAATGGGCGTGTATCGTACAATGTTTTATGATATATTGCAATTTACTACGTTTTACAACCTAAAATCAAATAAAATTTTATCATGACACCATCATTACAAGTTTCCAAATGTGACTTAAAATAATGATAGTTCAGGTACAACTGACAATTCAGTCATAACTGTTGTTAAAATTTTTACCGGACTATCTATCTGAATTAGGACGTGGTTCAAAGCCCACTTGCACTGAAGCTTACTGTACCCCTCATAGTTTCTATCTCATCAGATTGATTTTCTTGATGAATTCAAGAATATGTCTGATGGGCGCTTTTGCGATTTCTTCAGGCTCCAGATATTGTACCCCAAAGTACCATTCCCTTTCCCATTTAAGGTTCCGACAGTGGCATAGTATATGAATAGGAGCTAGAACGTTATGACTCCCATAACAACCATAAACAAAGGTTGGTTACCACGGTATAACATTGCAATGTATCAGTAAAACTTTTACAACATGGTCGAAACGTACCTCAAAGAAATTCTAAAACATTATCGCCATTAAAATATTTCATAGACTTTTATTTACATAATGTACAGAATATACTCTGCATAAATTTTACCAAGAAGTGGACGTCTGAAGTTGCTGGCAGAAGATCGCGCCAACCAAATATGTGAAAGTGCAAAAGGCCGAGTTGGAACACCAAACTTATCCAGAAGATTTATTACTTCTTGTAAAACTGTAAGAAGGGTATTGCAGAAAAATCTTGAAATACCAATAAAGATGTAAAAAACAAAGGATCAGTTAAGAAGAATCGCAATTTATTGTCTTAGATTACGTCGAGATCATATTGCGAACAATAAAGTGATCATAATGTATGATGAAAAATATTTCACAATATCTTAGGTACTCAAAAAGGAAAGGGATAGACGAATTTTAAGACGATAATGTAGAAAATTGTCCAGATGTTGATAATCACAAAGCTAACAAAAAAAAAACACACAAAAAAATTCTAGTTTGTGTTGCTAATATTGGACATGTAAGGGTTGAAGCAGTTTATACCGAGAAATATCTACCGAAAATGCTCTAATTTATTAACACAATTATTCAACTACGTGGCGAAATAATGTTTTGGCCACACTTGGTAAGTTATCGTTATGCCAGAACGACTAGACCATCGTTTAAAGCTCAAAATATATCCTATGTGTCAAAAGCTAATAATCAGCCAGATGTACTACAGATGATTTTTTGGGATTATTGACTAGAAAATTATATGATAATGAAGCGCAATTAAGGCGCATTATTCTCGAAACAAATATATTATTCTATTTAAACACAACTATACAAAACAGGTCGCAGCATATGTACTTAATAGAATAAAAAAGATACACAGTTAAATACAGTTAACAACTACAATATTTGGAGTACAAGTCCCAACCCTTATTTAAACGTTAAAACCGCAATTCAAAATACAAAAAAGGCATTTACTTATACAATGGAGATTTAGAGCCTCCAGTCGAAGTCTCCGTGATCTTGAGCTACTACTAGGGATCTACAAGGACGGTTTTCTACAAAGAGAATCCTGCCCTGTGGAAAAAGCCCCGTGCGTCCCCCCGAGATTACCTTTTTCATAGTTCATTTTTATTTAACTGTTTAATAATAATTAAATAATCAACCTTGTATATGTTTGCAACTGAAAACAAATTTATATAATATTTAAACATGGTTTTATTTAAATTATTAGTTAATTTCGAAGTGTTATGATAAATATGAATTTATATAAAGGGCGACAATATAAACATCATTCAAAACAGTATGGGATACAAAATATAAAAAACTGTGTTTAACTGAGGACCATGATGGTCCTTTGTGTCATTATTATACTTTTCACACATTACTAAGCATTCAGTTTCGTCGGTTCTTCTATAAGGGGACGAAGCCTATTGATTTTGATTTTTTTAAGTAGGTTGAAATATTAAAAAAAAAAATCATACACCAAAAGCGATATCAACATAAAAGTTTTAGTAAAAATCAAGCTATATATAGAGATGAAGCCAATTGACCCTGAAAAAAATCTGAAATAAAATGTGGGTTTAAAGGAGTCGAAATAATAAAAAAAAATCCTAACTCAAAGACGAAAAAAGATATCAACTTGAAATTTTTAGCAAAAATCAAGTTCTATAAGTGGACAAAGCCTATTGAGTTAAAAAAAAATATTTAAAAATGGGGGGGGGGGGGGGTAAATTTAAAAACATAATTCAAAAATGAAAAGCGATAAATTTTTTTTTAGTAAAAATCAAGCTCTATAAGATGATAATGCCAATTGATTCTGAAAAAAAATCTGAAATCAAATGGTGGTTGAGGAGGGTTGAAATATAAAACAATAGAAATCAAACATTAAAAGCGATATCAACATGAAATTTTTAGAAAAAAAAAAAGCTCTATAAGGGTAAAATACCTTTGATTAAAAAAAATCTGAATAAAAATGGGACGATAAGGTGAGTTGACATATTGGAAAACTTTCTAAATCAAAAACAAGAAACGATATCAAATTGACAAAAATTTGATTAAGAGGAAAGGGGGTCTGTTAAACCGTGAAGAGTATAATAGAGAATACTAAGCATTATATATCTTCATTCTCTAGTTTTAGTTGTATCATGCCCATGACACTACCCCAAATACACTTTAGTGTATGTTTTATCATTATTGTTACGTATTATTGCTCGTTTTATTTGAGGACATTGGAATAAATAGAGTACTAGAAGTAATCAAGCTAAAAAGGTGTCTTATAAGAAGAAAGTACATTGCATTCGACTGATTTATGTTTAATATATTTTCGTAAAGTATTTCCAACATGCTAGTTCCTTGAATGGTTGTAAATTGTAAGTGTATAAGCGATAGAAACTGTGCTACTTTGTGCTTCGTTTTTTTTTTGTGTTGGGTGTCCCAGCCCAGCATTCCTAGCCAGCAGTAGTAGCAAAAACATTAACATTGTCTACATTCAACCCGTTTACATGTACATGATTTATCAGCTAAAAGCAGAATACAATAGTTCTCTGTAAAATGTAAACAACGCTACAAGGAAAATTGCTCATGTATAAATTTAACAATTAAATCAAAATATATTATTTTTAAAGGACTTATATCAACTATTATGTTAATTATAAATATTATAATATAAATATTTGTAACAAAATAATAGTTGTGCATTAATAAATCTGTTACTACTCCAAAAAATATATTGTTTATTGATTATCAGGTATCAAAAATAATATGTGTCTTATTATAGTTGTAAATAAAAACAACACTTTTTATCCGTCCATTTAACACTTACAAACATATGCATATTTTAAGTTGTGAGAATCCGTAGCCTCTTAATTTTTTACATTAGACACAAGACCTGTGATGTCACATTAAATCGTGAATATGAGATAAAGTATTTTGGAGTTGTCTTTCAGTCTAATTTGAAGTTTAATAACCATTTCTTACACATACTTAAAAAAACAATAAAAGCTTTGGGTTTTTAAATCAGAAATAAAAAAAAATTTAGAATTACCACTAAAATCAGATTATATAATGCCTTACTAAGACCCCATCTTGAGTATGTTTCACAAATATGGATGCCCTTGAAAGCCACACATATTGATCATATTGAAAAAGTACAAAAAATATTTTTACCATAAAAAATACTTGTACCTTCATAAGATCTCATATATAACTATGCTCGATAGTTTTAAGATTAAATCTCTTTTACAAAGAAGAAAGCAACAGGCTGTGATATATTTTGTACTCTATTTTAAATAATGTTAAGTACAAAGATTGTGATTTGATTGACTATATAAATTTTAATGTGGTAAAGATTAATCTAAGAATCCCAAGTAACAAAAAATTATTTAGTTTAGATCCAAGTAGTATATTTCCTTTTAACAAGATAATGGCTGTTACCAATGAGTTTTTTAGCGAGGTCCAAATAGATATCTTTAATGTTAGCCTAAGAAAGTTGAGGACTGTACTAAATTAAGTTCACTAGATATAAAGGTTTGTTTTGTTTTTAAAGTTCTTGTTACTTAACCCTACATGTAACTACTATTAATTTTTTATAGTATCCAATAAATAAATTATACCTTATGGCTGCTTTCAAACAATACTGTGTGTAGTCACTCAGTTTAAAGTTAATTTTAAATTAATGAGTTTATAAGAATGTCAAATAGTGATATGTATAGTGTCTATGAACTTGCTGTGTGTAGTAAATGGCCAATAAACATAACTTTGATATTTTTATTACAAGTGTAAGGGGGCGTCCATTAATTACGTGAGGTATTTTTGAGGATTTTTTGACCCCCTCTCCCCCCCTGGTGAGATTTCGTAAGATTTTCCTCAACTCCCTCCCCCTCCCCTAATCTCTCGTGAGATTTTTAAAAATTTGTGTTTCGGGTGTAAATGCGTTGGATTATTAAAAAAACAAACATAATATTTTATTACTTTTATTTAAGACTAAAAATTTCTAGAAACCTTCTTTACTTTAATTTAATTTTCACGCAATTTTTCACCGTTTTCTACTAGAAAAACAATACGTCAGATTTACAAAGACCCCCCTCTCCCCCAAGTGAGATTTGGAAAGATTTAGCTTGATCCCTCCCCCCTTGAACACCTCACGTAATTAATGGACGCCCCCTAAAAACTACGAAAACCATATACATATAGTTCCCATTTTTAAATAAATTCATAATAAAAAGTAAAGATTTTAGTCTGCCATACTTGAACTCATTCACTAAAACAAGTAACCTGAGTATATATTTGTAAAAAAAACTAGGTACACTAAATATGTCTCCATTATAAATTTTTATATTTAAAACTATATACTTTCCTATAGATTTTGCAGTAAGTACCTAAATAACGTATAGAATAAATTTCTACAACATAGAAAAGTTTTAGATTAGAGTAATTCGTAAGAATTAAAGCAAAACCTCTATTTTGTTATATATTTTCCTTGACAAGCTAACGTTATATTTTGAACTAAAAGTAATTAAACTTTTCACTAAAAAGTAATATTTCGCATATATAAAAAAAATTTAAAACGGTTCTGCCTTCTCACATTTGCGAAGACTGCCCTGATATCTAATCTATTTTCTTCTTCAAAGTAATTAAATTGTTCAACCGTTGTCTATAAAGGTATCTCACATCTCGCTTATGCACACAAATTTGAAAAGCAGCAAAACAAAAATTCAACTAACCAGTATACCAGGTCCGTGTAAAGAAAACTTTTCATATCCCGAAAACGTCAAGTGTCAACTAAAATTTCTACATTTAAAGATCAAACGTGCCGCCTCAGAGTGCCAATTAGACATTCCAAACTGAATGACTACCAGTGGGTTTTGACAGGTTATGATGTGGCAAAGTTATGGTAACTCTGTAGGCCTGGTGATTTGACAAGGTGAGTAAAATAGATAGTTACATAGATTGATCATCCCTATTTTTTAAAATAAACATAAGCTTATGCCTTGAAGTAAAAATATAAGCAGTTATTATTTTTTAAATATCTAAAGTCTGAAAATTGGTTTTAAAACACATTTTTGCTAAACTGATTCAAATTAATAAATATTTGCCAGGCAATATGGCTGCTCGCAAACGACCAGCTTTGAGCAATGTATATAACATATATGTATCATTGACCCTGTTAATGACAACATGACAACAGGGTTGCCATATCTAAACTGTCAGTACCCACTGGTAGCCATTTGGACAGGTCGTTGGAATGCCTAATACTTATTGGTATATATACTGGGGTTGTATATTTAGTTAATATAGATACAAGGCCAAAGGTTGGTAAAATGATCACTTAAATGAATTACGTTATATGTACTTAGTAGAAAGAATATAATTTTTCCTAAAACTGATGTGAAATACGTTATTTCTAGCGCAATAAACCTGCACAAACGACCTTATTTCATAAAAGTATGTGATATACGCAATTAAATTTATAAATTAGTGTCACAAATGTTCACACTGCATTATATAATGATCAAAAAATCGAATCCAACGTTTTAAACCAAAAAATTCCATTCAAAAACAAACGAATATTTGACTTTTAAATAAATCATTAAAATAATTTAATACTCACCAATTGGCAGTTAAAAGTTCTTGAGGATTGGCAAAATAACTGCACTGCAGAAAAGCACTGGTAACGTTACTATCCGTGGATTCATTAACTACGGCGTAAGTTGGTTTAACTGTTATTACAGGAGGATCTGGAAGAAAAAAAAATGAAACTATTTTAAGATTATTTCTAAGTTGAAAAACTTACATCGGACGTCGAGAATGAGACTCTTTTGAAATTCAGGTTCGGCATTTTTCTTCATTACTTCGTTTTCGGTAAAGCAGTAAATCGTTTTTCCGTTTTCCCAATGGCTTGCTTTGAAGGATAGTGAACTAATAGTAGTGAAGGTTCCATCTTTCTGTAAAATAAAAAACCATATTTTTATTTCATTGCCAAAGAGTGCAGCCAGGAAGACTATTTAAATATATTTTAATAAAAATAAAGCATTTTTGAGTTTCAAATTATTATTCTTTCATTAAAAAAAAAAAACTAATAAGAATTATGAATTTTTAAGGTAAATATTAATGACAGGTTTTTTTGTATAAGGCTTCATTTAAAGTGCCGCTTTTAATGAGTCTTCAGACTTAAAAGACGCGCGTTAGAAATATTTTCCTTCGTTAGGATAGTGACACATCAAACTATTTAGTATTATGAAGAGTGGCCTGTATCATATGCTTATGGGTAAGAATATACTTTTCGCTCATGTATGAATAAGAATCTACTTTCCTAATCAGCCCTCAAATATATTTGATGGATAATTTCTATTTTCTAAATAAAAATAAAAATATATGTAGTACGCTAAGAATTTTTTCATCACAACATCCAAGCGAGATGCTCCATAATATTACAAAGACGGAAAATTATACTATTGGTTTTTGTGTTTTTTGAGATTCATACCACATCTGATTGTGTAGTCAAACGTTTTCACTATATAAACTAAAGTCCATAATTAGAAGTAGAAATCCGAAAATTAGAATAGTTGTAATGTTTGAGAAGCATGAACCTAATGAATTTATTTCGTTACTTAAGTACCAAAATAATGTCCTCCAGTCGTCCAGAGTTTGCAGCGTTGTGAAAATTTGGGATACCAAGAAAAATGATATATCAAGCAACTCTAGAAATTGATGCCGAAACTTAAGTGAAAGCAATATCTCTTCAAAGTCTTTTATGTCAGCTACGATGTATGTGAAGTGTTTGATGCTATAGATATCACATTATGCTATAAGTGCAGCGGCTTCGGTCATAACCAAGGGTCGTGTTTAAAAAATATTGCTTGTCCTAAATTAAAGATTGTCCCATTGATTCTGAAATAATATGTATAAACTGTATTAACGCTAAAATTTCTAATCTCAAACATTAAATCTAAAAATACTAGAGGGCCAAATGATATTCCGGCATTTTTAATATGAGATTGTTTAAATATTTTAGCCAAACCTTTAACCATGGTCTTTAATATGTCCTCACGAGAAGGAAATTTTCCAAGATATTGAAAGATATCTAAAATTTGTCCAATCTTTAAGAAAGGATCCAAATATATCACAGAAAACTACAGATTTATACCCATCCTTTGCAATTTCGAAAAATTTTTCGAAAATGTCATTTATGAAATACTTTTAGCTCATGTAAAATCGATTATATTTACGGCACAGCACGGCTTTTTTCCAGGCAGATCCACAGCGACCATTTTGATATGCTTTATGCAATATGTTGCGGAATGCCTTGATAGGGGTGGCCAGGTTGAAGCCGCCTCGATCATAGTATACTTTTGAACAAGCTTCCTATTGTTGGACTCACTATGTCTTTTCTGCGTTTCTCTGAATTATATTTAATTAATCGTAAATTGGAAGTTGAATAGCATGGTTTAAGTCCATTTGTATAAAAGCTTCTTCCGGCATCCCTCAAGGTTCAGTTCTAGGACCACTTTTATTTTCCATCTTTGTAAATGACATTACTGAAAACCTATCAATGCCGATGATTGTTTAAATCAATCTCCAGTATTGATTACTGTTTAATTATGCAGGAGGACTTATATAAATTGAACCATTGGTGTAATTCTAACAACTTACCCCTACACATATCTAAGTGCAATTCTATCAGCTTTACTCGTAAACTAAATTCGATTGAGTATAATTTCACTGTTTTATTTTATTGAACATGTCAATACTATTCAGACAGAAGCATACAGAAATTTTTGTTTTGTCATTCGAAATGGATACCAGTTCTAACACTTTAAAAAACTATTTTTAACGCTTTTGTACGTAGTAAGCTAGAATATGCGTCCAATGTTTGGAGTCCTGGATATGAAGTACATAGTCGGGTATTAAAAAAAATTTAGCGAAAATTTGTTATATATTTATGGTGCTAGATGGCGTCTACCCTACTCGTAATATTCCGCAAACCATCTTGCTGAATAGATTTGATATCTTTGAGTTACGTACTCGCAGGAAATGTTATTCCATTTGCATTCTTTACAAATTATTGAACTATAAAATTGACTGTCCCGAACTACTTCGTCAACTTATGTTTAATGTTCCTAGTATCATAACTTGCTTCCCTTTATATTTTTATTTCTCCCAAATATATAATTGTCTCCAATGTATTTTATGCATCAAAATTTTTGTGAACTTCAACATGATGTTGATTTATTTTCTATTTTAATTAAAGAAATAAAACGCATATTTGTGAATTGAGTTAATTATCATAAGACAACGTACTTTTTTCTCCTAACGAAGTTATTTTTTGCGTTTTCTTAGGATGATTAAAACGTTTATTAAACTATTTTTTATTTATGTATTTATGCTATTATTAATATTTAATATTTTGTTATTATTTTTATGATGTTCATTATACTGTAAGTGTAACTATTTTTGTGCTCATCCTGTTATTGGTTTTATACTGCTGGATGGTGTAACCCAAATAAATAATGTAGAGGTTTTAGATCAATTTACATATATCGCTTAAATACGACCATGTTGGCAAATCTGATCATTACAAATATCATCATTACAAAATTTACCTGTTGTAGAATTATTCCTATAATCATTTTCTTTGCTGTCTTATTTTACTAGTAATATCTGAAAGTCAGCTGATGAGATATTTATTTCATAGTTCACATGTGTTTGGCATATTGTATTATTATTAACCCATGTCAAAATGCAACAAAATATAACAAACCGCTTTTATCTGATAAAAATAAGTTTCATGAGTACGAAATTTCTAAAAAGAAAAATAATTCATTTGTTAGTTAAACTATATTAGAACAACCTATATGAACGGTTGTTGCATAGAACATGGCATAAAGCCTCGAATTATGTATATGTGTTAGTTTATGTGAGAAAGCTTATATCATTCTGGTCTGCGCGAGGAGGAATCTTCTATTTATGCCTTTTCTCCCTCCTGTGGTTTTCAGACGGTCGATTATGTGAGTTTTATCGGCATCATTTGATTACGTCATAAATTTTAACTGCCTTTAAATTTAAATTGTTTGTCTATATGTGCGAGAGAGTTACGACGTTACCCATATATGGTTAAATTAAATTATTAATTGGATTTTTACCAGCTCAAGTAATAAATTTAGTGTTTAATTGTTGAATTATCAGTTGATTGATCGGTCTGGCACCCAAAGTTGGACTAGCCTGATGTATTAATGTAATATGTTGAATGTATTTCTAACACTTACTTTGTGCATGTATTTATTAACGACCAAATAATTAGAAAGTTAAACATTAATTTTCCTATATAACAAATAAATCGCTTTTCTACTTTCTTTACCTTTATTCATGTAACAATCAATTCGTATACCTAATATTAAAAAATGTTTCACTTCCATTCAAAAATATATAATGCACAAGAAATACTTTTTAGAACTACTGCGTTGTGCATTGACGACACTTAAGTGTAATCCAAATTTTGACAAAAATAGCAAATCAAGCCATTAGTGCATCTCTGACAAATAAACATGGTTTCCAGAAACAAACATATGGCAGCCAAGAGAAACAAACATTTGTTTTTCGTTCCGTGAAATTTACATAAGATATTCATAGCACTTGAAAGCCCTTAAAGCGGGACTTTCAAAAGTTAATACTCTCTAAGGGTTTGTTTAATGCATTTTTAATCCCTTCTTTTCATTTGCGCTGAGTTTACTTTGGTGACATGTCGGGGGAAAGTTTGACGATAAAATATTTTAGATTAATACACACGCTACTTGCATGTCTCGCAACGAGTTCCTTAAAGTTGAGTTTGTCTTACAATGTAAGCAGTCATTTCGAATTTTATACAGGTTTATGAATGTGTCTAAAGTCTAAAGTAGATTATATTTGTACCGTATTCGCTTGGCTGTATAGCGTCACTTCTAAATAAAATAAAAATAGGCCTATGTAAAAAATATACTTTTAAAAAGGTACAAACTTATATAGTTTCATAAAAAATAACTCATGCAATAAAGCTGTTTCTCGAGATTTGTACAGTATAGCAAAAGGCTTTAAACGGTGTGTTTAAACCTTGTAAATCACAACTTTATGATCAGACAACTTAAACTCTATGGTACGAAAGGGGTGGCATTAAAATCAATAATCACATGCTTAAAAAATAGGACATAATATGTAAGTTTCGAGGATAAAACATCAAATTTCCGATATATAAAACATGATGTGCTCCAAAGATCCATTCCTAGCCCATTGTTGAATATAATATTGTTACGCAGCATCCTGCAGTAGCCTGCGGCTGTTATAGGTAACGTACGATTACAAAAAGAAGTGCAATGTTACTCATCGCCCTATAGTGTGCTGTGGTCGTCATAAGTAAAAGTACAAGTAAAAGAAGATATAATAGTCCAGAAATATCTGGAAATATCATTACTTGTCAAGAAAAATCTAGACGAGAAGGTTCGAGAAGCTATATAAGTCGATAATCCTGACGTCAGTTTCAGTTTAATAATAGACGTTATATATTAATGTTATCAGTTGCATAGATATTGTAAAAGTTGGGTTGAAATTAACTGAGATTCCAAAAACCTGTGTAACACTATATATGGAAGGTATTTTTACTTTCTAAACCCTACAGACTACACTATCTTTAATGACTATGCAACTCTAATTCGTGACATTTCTTATCAAGGTTAATGTGATGAAAAGACCGAACACTGGTTCTCAGCAAATTATCTAAATTGTTTTTTTTTTCTTTAATAATTGTATGTAATAGATCTTCTAGGTACATAAATAAACTACTACTTATTACCACAAATTATAAAACTGTTCGTGGTGTATGGCATAGTAAATACATACAATTAAATCTATGTTATTTTATATAAAATGAATATAATATACAAATACATACAGGGTGACGCATCGAAACAGAGAC